TTTATTAATAGGATTAGGGATAATTAGGTTTATAAATATAGGGGTATTGTACACTTTTTAATCAATCAATCATATATCAATACAAAGCAAGATTATTCCAATATAATTCTTATTTTCAATACTTATTACAAGAATTTCTAAACGCTTCCGCACCATGTGTTAGGCCAGGCCAGGTTAGGGTTATTGTTGGGCCTGTGTGATGGGATTGGATTAGGCTAGTTCAAGTATTGGTATTGGACCGGTTGTTTGGGGTATAAGTTGGGCTGTGGGTATGTATGTGGAGTTGGACCAATTATGGGCTTCTAGGGCTGGGTTATCTATATGTGATGGGTTTGTGTGGAATGGATATTTTGGGTTGGGTCTGTGACTATTGGGTTTGTATCTAGGGTTATGTGTATAATATGTGGATTAATAGATGGGTTTTGGATAAGCACAACAGACTGTTATGGTGGTAGCTTCTGGTGGCGGGAGAGGAGATCTCAACTGGATGTGCAGCCATGAGTAAACGCCGGTAGTTGAGATAACGGGGCAGCTTGTTGCAGGTGTTCTAGAGCGCAAATTTAAGCAGCATTTAAGGAGGTTTTTGCTGGTGGTAAGAACATCGAGTGGCAGGTAGATGAATTTGTACAAAAAAGTTTGCAATCACTGCTACTTTGATGAAGGAAACTAGGTTTTAGCTCTGATACCAAATTCGATGTAGCATCAATGGAAATATTCAGCAGAGATAGAGAAACCAGTCTGCAGAGAAGGAGGAGGAGGACAATTCAATTCATTCATTCATCGTATCCTTGTTCAAGTTACAATACCAACTATAAATAGAAAGAAAAACAACCCTAAAGATAAAAAGGGCTTGGGCCGGCCCAAAGTACACACCCAACTAAATAAAGCATAAGTAAATGGTCCAATAAAACAAAAGGGTGATGTCCGCATCAGATTTCTTGTTGCACTGATACATAAGAAAATAGGTTAGATGTGTTTATTTTTTTAATCAAAATATGAACTTGAGTCTGTTTTCTGCTTGGTTTATTTGTTCATCCTTTTAATCCAAGGACCATTGGTCGTTGGAAATTTTGTATCTCTTTCTCATTATAAAATCTCTATTCTCATGATGAATTTATTGATTTTATAGATTATTTTTTTCAAATTAATATTTATATTAGGAGAAAGTATTTATTTTTTGAAAAAATATTACAGTTCATTAAACATTAGATGATAAGTAACAACTTGTACCTGCTTGTTATATATTTTGTTCTGTCTTGTAGGCTGTACGGAGGATTAAAAACTCCCCCTTGACTTCTGAGGAGATAGCACGTATTGAAATGGTATGAACTAAAATATTAATTTTCTTTTAGTGACTGGTAATTAGCATACAGTGGTTCTATTAGACTGTGCATAGACATTTCATTCATGTGTGTAGTCTAAATTATTCAGGGATTAAAGAAATTTAAACTCGACTGGATATCCATATGGAGATTTTTGGTTCCTTATAGAGATCCATCCTTGCTTCCACGACAGTGGCGAATTGCTTTCGGTACACAGAAGTCATATAAGTCCGATGCAAAGAAGAAAGCTAAGCGGCGTTTATATGAATCAAAAAGAAGAGCTAGTAAGCCTCCTGTTTCCATTCAGCATTCGTCATCTGAAAAAGAGGTATGAATACATCTTGTGTTTCAAGTCTACTGCTGTATAACCACTTTTCCAATTAGGATGACATTCTTTTTATTTGTAAATGCATAGGTGGTTGTTATGCAGTCGATATAAAATCTATTTTTATTTTAATTATTAGCGCAGTTGGTTGACTTTTTCTTTTTTAATCATCAGAACCTGTCTAACTCTCACCTTATTCTTTGGCTGCATACTTGGACCTCCACAATATGTATGGGTAGATGACATGGACAAAATAAAGTGCTTCATTGTTAACAAATTTTGATGGATTTCAGTATTCTTCTTTGAGTTCAATAATTATTATCCAGAAATCTGCCAAAATTTCAAAATATTGTTTTCCATTGTCCACTATGAATAGCTAACTAAACCATGCATGTTTCATTATCCTCGTGGGTGTATGATAGTGTTCCTGAATAGAATATGACAGAAAGCTTAAGCTTTCAAATTGTTAGTGCTTAGGAAGAAAAATTCAAATGTAAAGCTAGGACGGGATAAAACTCCCAAATCAAACCGGACCCGACCCGAGCCGAATCGAGAGGTTCTTCTTAAGTTAAATACTCGAATGGGTATCAGAATTGAGAACCGACGAGTTCTGTTCGGTTCTCGGTTCTAGATGAAGAATCGAATCTCTCTAATTTTTAAAAAAAAATTATTAAGCTCTTGTTTGATACCCATTATTTTCAAAATAAATTTTTCTATCTTATTTTCAACCACATTCTTCAATAAAATAATATTACACGCAAACCCAAATTTTTTCCTAATTTTTTAACCACACATTCTCTATCAATCTACTATTCCAAAATTCATTCTTACACTAAAATGGTACTCAAACAGGCTCTAAATAAATCGAATTATTTTAATTTTTTTTTCTAAATAAATTTGTCGACTAAGCCATTGTTTGATTCTCATTAAATTAAAATTCATTTTTCTGAATCTTCTTATCATCAACACATTCTTCAATAAAATAATATTACAAATAAACATAAAAACTTTTCCTTTGTTTCAACCCCACAGTCTCCCAAAAATTACTATTCACGTTAAAATGTGATATAATGGAGCCAAAACATGGGCTAATTAATTGAGCTCAAAAATATCATTTTCCTGTTTTAAGTCCAATCCAAACTTTGTAATTCAAATTTCAAAGAATTAAAATTGAGTAATCAAAGTTTTCTCAATCATTCTACAGTTTCTCAAATAATTGAAGCTAAGCGTCTGCGCGTCTCTTTGCCTTATCCTTTTTTTGTGTCCTATTCATTGAATTTTCTCCACTTCGATTAAGATAAGTTTCATCACATTCCTTTCTAATAATTTCTTGCGCTTAATGTATAAACATTATAATTTATAATTAGTTTTTAAGATGTTTATTGTAAGCTCACGCATTTGCACATTTTCCTTTCTCTCGGTAGCTACCTTCCTTGCCGTGTTCTTTATTTTCACCCTTTTTTTATTGCATGTTTTCACCTTTTTTTATATGCCTTCCATATTGACATGTCATTAGTTGAATTAATTTAGTTTTGTTATAAATGTTAAAAAATTTAATTATGGTACGGAACTGAACTGATTCAATTCCATAATTAAACTTAGACCCGACGGTTCTACTTGCTAAATAATCGAAAATTCTGGTAAATAGAACTGAATTGAACCGGACCGTGACCAGCCCTATGTAAAGCTTTAATTATTTGAGTCTTAACATGGGAAAAATGCATTTATTGGTCTAGTGGCCATGTAGTGTATTCAATGTTATAAACTTATGATGTCATGTCCAATGTTCCCTTTGTGGTACTATCATTTACCAGTGGCCCTCTTTGCTTCCCTGCACATGGTTAGGACCTCCTGTTGTGATTAACTAAATCTCATTTGTATTTAGCAAGATTGACATCCTTCTGAAAGTTGTTTAGCCTCCATTTGGCAAATTTATAAATCATTTTATAAATGGTCAAACTTCAGTTCAACCACACATTCCAGTGAAGTCACAAGTACTATCTACTTATCCACCACTTATTTCTATCTATTTATAAATGAAACCATTTAAAAATTCTCCCCACTAGAGGCTTAATAGTCTAATGTAGGAAACATGTTTTTGTTAAGATTTGGTGATTGTACTTAGCTTTTATCATCAGAGTGCTTCAGATGTTAACATTGATTCTTGTCTGTTTTTTCTACCGGCAAAAAACTCATGCAAAACTCGATCTTTTTCAATAAATTTGTTGGTGAGTTCCAGGCTGTGAAAACAGAAGTGATATGTTTCCGCCAGCACCTTCAGGCGGGAAAGTGCAGGACATGCAAAAGACTTCTATCAGCTCTGATGATCATATACTTTTAGAATTCATGAAAGTAATTTTTTCCAAATATATCTTATTATTAGTGGTTTTAGGGTCAAGTGATTAATAAAATGATATATTATGGACATTGATTTCTTTTTCCTAATTTGTGCTTTAATAAAATGTTTACCTTGCAGCACTTTTAGCACTGTTCTTTTCCTAAATAGATTGCTACTTAATTAAAATATACAATTTACAGGGCGGTAGCACTGATAATGCCATTGAAGAAGGTAACAAAGCAGATAATTGCATGGATTGGGAAGATGAAGCTTATGTTCATGAGGCATTTCTGGCCGATTGGAGGCCTGATAACTCTAACATCTCTTCGAAATGTCCTACTCGCGTACCCTCACTGGAGGGTTCTCAAGTCAGAGAAGAGATGGATAATTCTGGTGGTGGAGACATCAATACCCAAAGTTGTACCAGGTCTTCGTCTGCTTCAAGGTAGTATCCCTTTTCTTCCATGTCTATCTCATTTTTGTATGTGTTCTGCATCACTTTCTCTTCATTAAGCTGTATTACTTTGTGTTTCTTACTTGACTTTAAGGTTCTCTGTCTCCCAAGTAGTTTTGCGACCTTACAGAGCTCGTAGAGCGAATAATGCACGCTTGGTGAAATTAGCTCCTGATTTGCCTCCTCTAAATCTTCCACCTTCTGTTCGGATAATGTCACAGTCAGCTTTCAAATGCTCCCAGGGAGGTGGATCAACGAAGATTTCTTGCACTGATTCTGGTATTGGTGTTACTGTGGCAGAAAACACAGCTCTGCAAGTTGTGTGTGCCACAAAGTCAGGAGTTGATTCTACAGTGGAACCTGGGCATATTAGGAGTGTTTCAATGAAAAATACAATTAGTAATCAACATCAAATTTTAGAGAGCTTAAAGAATAAATGTTCAACAGAAGAGAGAGGTGATCCAGATCTGCAGATGCATCCTTTATTGTTCCAGGCACCCAAAGACGGTGCCTTACAGTATTATCCATTGAATTCCAGTACTAGCACATTCAATTCTTTCAGTTTATTTTCTGGAAATCAACCGCAGCTGAATCTTGGTCTTTTTCATAATCCCCGTCATATAAGAGACGCTGTGAATTTTCTTTCTAAGTCATCCAAGCCTCTGGAAAATAAATCATCATCATCAGGCATGGACTTTCATCCACTTCTGCGAAGAGCTAATGATGTGGATTCTGATATGTTAGATGCACATTCTGCGGCCAAACTGCCTTCTAATGCAGATTCAAGGCAAAAAGATGGTAGTTTAAGTGCCTCCTGTAGTAAACTCCCCTGCCCTAGTGGAAAAGCTATTGGACTTGACTTGGACATTCACCTGAATTTCACATCCAGGAACAATAAATCTATTGAAAACAGAAATATGACCGAAAATTGTATAGACAAATTAGTAAATGCTGCAGATTCTGGAAGCATAGAATCTGAAAGTGCGAAAGACTCTAGCAAGCAGAGGGATCCTACTCCAGAGGGAATCAGTGACAAGCTGGATTCAGGTGACCATGTGTTGGATACTCTTAGAAATGAAAGAAGTGAAAAAATTGTTGATGACATGGGTGAGGAGTCCCTCCCAGAAATTGTGATGGAGCATGAAGAATTGAGTGACTCTGAGGACGAATTTGGGGAAAATGTAGAATTTGAGCACGAAGAAATGACAGACTCGGAAGGCGGCGATACATCTGACTCTGGACAGTTTGTTGACATACCAAATGAGGTACTCTTTTCTCTACTTTCTTGATTTGCAGATACTGGAATTTTGAGAAGAATAGGTATCTTATTCTGATAAAATGTTCTGATGTGTCAAATGTAATCTCCTAGACATCTTAAGTTCACTTTTTTTTTTATGAGAATATTTATAAATAATACCTTTGCTTCTTACTTTCGATGTTATCCTTTCATACTTTGGCTTCTATTCATATCCTGGAAAACCCTTTTCTCTTGTTCCAAATTCTAATATTACTTTCCTTTCCATTTTGATATTTTATTGGAATGGATATATCCTCAAATTAATAATATGCCTTTTCCTTGTGGCAATGTTGTACATGGACCCTCATCTGAGTGAGGTTGGACTTGTTCCATACGAAATATCTCATTTCATTTTGAAAACATGCCTTTCGTCATGGATCCATCTTGTACATCTTGTGTCAACGTGGAATCGTTGTAGTTTGTCATTGTATAAATGCACTCTTTAGTTGAAACTGTCGCTGTCTTATATCCCTGTTGTTGACTGGTTGGTAGTGTTTTAGTATTAACTTTGCTTACCATAACGTTTCTCAATGGGTGGCTATTAATCATTTGGTTCTATCTTTTTAATCATCTATAGTTTCTTACAAAATACTGATAAATTCTATCAGGAAGTACATCAAGACATAACAGATGCGGATGCAGATTCCGATGATCAAAACTTACTAAATACCAATGGTGATCCTGGAGGCAGTATATGTAGACGCTTAGATGGAGGCTCAACTGAATTAGGGTTGGCTGAAAGGAGGGCTAATATTGAGTCAAGTGCTTTACATTTAAATTTGAATTCCTGGCCTCCAGTTTCTCCCATTGCAGATCCCAAGAAAGCTAAAACAATGTATAATTTTGGACCATTTGGTGAAAATCAAGTTCCTGCTTCCAAAAGATATGTCAAGCTGGAGATAAGTCAGACCGGTGCAGAGAAGCTCTCGAAGGACGTGCAGCATCAGAGCATGGATTCTGATAATGACCCTGCGCTGAGAAAGCCCAGCAAACGTGTGTGCCGAACTGATTCTAGTGCTGGCTCAGAAAAGGGAACTTCAATCGTCAATATTGATAGGAGTGTAGAGAACCCAAAGAATGGGACTGTAGATGAATTTGGTTGATTGTAGCTCATATGTATGCATGAAGATAATATTATTAGGTTGTTGTAATGTGGCCTTTATTGTTTATTTTGTGAAAATTGGGTCTTTAAAAGGAAAAGAGGAGTGAATTCAGATCACCAACTACCCATGTGCAATGATTTTTAGGCTCCGTTTGATTGGCGGAGTTTTCCAGGGAAATAGAAAAATATTTTCCTACTTTCACCTTTTTTTTTTTTTTTTTTAAAAAAAAAAAAAATTAAAAAACAAAATAAAAAAATAGAAAAAAAAAAAACAAAAAAATAAAATAAA